GACTTTATAAATGAGCTCCGTACTGGCTTTGAGCTCTTTTGAGGGTTGGCATTTCATGCCTCAAACTCATGGTGGATTTCTTTTTTCTTATGAAATGCTACAAGAGAGTAAGATTGAATCCCAGCCATAAATCAATTCGATAATTAAGGAGCACACTTCCAGAGGCAAAGACGTTAAAATTAAGAAATGATTTGATCGTGAAGTCATGCAAATCAAATGCCAAAGACTCCTTTCAACAAAATTTATTGCGGCTCATCAAAATATATTATTCACCTGACAATCATGATTTAAAACAGATACTTCATTTATCGTACACTGATGATCTGGAATGTCAATATCAACAATTTCAATGTTCAATAAAGGGAATCTTTCACGCCAGCTACATCCTCGAACGACTTAAGCCGTTCTCTCATTGGTTCCATGAACTAAACCTAAATAAGGTTAGTAGTCGAAGTAGTCCTCCCACATTAATGTTTAGGATGATATTGCTAACAAATGATCGCCCGTGTTGACGTCATCAGATGGCTTGCAATCTTTCATATGATCTTACGTAGGATCTCAGCAATTAATCTCCGAATTCATACCAAGTGACAGTTTCTAGTTCAGCATCGAAGAACTTAACCATCTATATACCATTTCTAGGTAGAAAATTATCGAAATCGACCCGCGTCGTACCCGCTTCTAGACATGCAACGTTCCCCAATTTCCCTCCACCATTCCATGCACAGGAACACCATCCATTCTTCACAACACGGGGGCTTTAAACTCACATAATCACAGAGAACGAGATAACTTCAGCAGAACAAAGGCCACGGAGCGATCAAGAGTCGCCTCTCCGACAGCCCTAGCTCTCGAGACCCACTACCGAATTCCACAATCGACGACGCCCCACCACGATCGCACAGGCAACAGGTCACGAAACAAGGAAGAATTCACAAGGAAGCGACGGCGAATTCGACAGCTTACGTGGCGAGCCCGGGGGGTAAGGGAGAGGCGCTCGTCGATGTGGACGTTCCTCACGCCGGTGAAGCGGCGGGAGAGGAGCTTGAAGAAGCGGTCGGAGGTGCCGGACGCGCCGACCCGGAGGGTGGTGCGGGTAAGCCGCTCGAGGCCGAGCCACCGCTTGCAGACGAGGGAGCAGGCGTCGTGGCTCGACTTCAAGTCCAGCCGACTGAAGATCTCGACCATCAGCTCGTCCGGCAGGCAGCCGTTGATCCTGTCGTGGCCCCGCATGGCCGGCCGGTCGGTCGGTCGGTTCGACCGGCGGGGATGAGAACGACGGGGAGGGAGGGAGGAGGGAGAGAGAAATGGGAGGTGCGTCGGTCGGGTGTGTGCTTCTCCGGCGAGCGCGCGCGGCGGCGGGCGGCGGCGGACGGCGGAGGAGCAGGAGCAAGAGGCGGAGGGAGGGAGGGGGTTTATATATACATGTAGCCAAACGGTCCGCTTCGATTTTACCTTTTTACCCTTCCTTCTTCTCTTTTGTTAAATTGATTTTCTTAATATTTGCGGGTGCTCAAGTGTATAACGGTTTGTTTTTTTCAGGGGTAAATTGGGTAGGAAGGAACGATCAACATCGGTGTAACATTTTTCCGACCAACAAAAAAACATTGAGAACCTTTCGTCCGTTATTATAGAAATCGTGAGCGTGAGATCGAAATATTCAGCTCGAACCATAACTACTATTTATTTTAAGCGAGTTCGTTATTGCCACATTACCGAGTACAGATCGCATTAAAGTCACGTACGGCATGCGTGACGGTCGCACGTCACAAGGGCGCCGACATTTCCCGAGATGGAAGAGCGGCTGAGGGGTTCGGGTTTATGACCAAACAGGTTACGGATCATGCTTGGCTGTCTCGATCGATCGATGTCAAAAGTGTAATTTGCCTTTACTTTAAGTCCTCTTTTGGTAAGGCTGCTAATTTGGGTAAGGAATCAGGCTCTAAAAGGGAAAATATTTGATTTTGGTAGGAAATGCAACCAAAAAAACACTATCATAATTACGCGCCAATGACAAGTTCAGCATAGTAACAGATGATTTGGTAGATATATGGAACAATGTCAATTATACTTAGGCAAGTTCATCACATGACTGTACATATTAAGCGATGTGACAGCTTGTGACGAATCTAGGGCACGACCCACTTATTTAGAAGGCCATTTAAGATTAGATTACTTGGTAAATCGCTCTTGATATACCTAATATAGGCACTCCTTATAAACGATTTGACGGACATAGCTGACACCAACACTTTTAACATTCACTTGCATTGTGTACAAATATGTGTGGCGTTTCCATACAGGGATCATTTGTCAAATTTATATACAATTTAAATCCCTTCGAATCCATAGATATATAGAGGTACTTGGGGGATTTGGATATGTCTGTGTATTACTTAAGAAATTTGTTCTTCTTTTTCACTTGTACTTGAATTTTTACATCTACTTATAAATAGATAAAGAGATATCTACATCATAATAAATTGTTTTTAATCTCTTTTCTCTCTCTAGCATATCATTTTTCCTCTTTCCCCTCATAATCGTCTAAATCCCTTCTTGTCCTTCCTAATCATTCGATCCCACACTGCGTGTAAAGTACTTTCATACATAATAAATGCACGATTAACACATTCGGCATGCACGACGCACGCAGTTTTGATATCGTTTAATTGAGGTGTAACGGTCACGCCTACTGTCACTTTTAATTTTACATTCGTATTGAAAGTGCTTTCATGCATGAGTATGAAATGATTGATAGTACGTTACTACATAAAACACTAAAACATCAACGAACCTACGACGATTATTTACCAAAAGTGCCGATCGTCCCCAACTAAAGGGTTGCCAAGGGTGGTGGCAGCTTCACCAGCCACCCTATCACTTCACTGCTTCTGTACTTCTTTATATTTTTATGCTCTATTTATTTTGCGAAAAATGTAGTCTTGCTAAAAAATGTTTTCCGGAAAGTCATTTTCAATAAATGATAATATTTTTTGATATTTGACTGACACGAACGTTTCATTAACCATTAGCCACCCTCAAGCGAGGCTCGAGCTTGCCTGTGGCTGGTCGCCGGGCGTCACCGTGATCGATGACCGGTCAAAGAAGAAGCAAAAATAAAAATAATAAAAAAAATAAAAAAATTGATTTTTTTAAATAAATAATAATTGAAAATTCCATTTTTATAAAAAAAAACATTTTATAAGAACATATAATTCATTAACCAAGGACTTAAGCGTGAGCGCCAAGGACTCATGCATGGCCTTTGTGGGCTCAATTTGAGTGTCGGGAACTAAAGCTCGAGTGTCGATGACCCGAACACGCCCTTTATGGACTAGAGCTCAAGTGTCAGGGAATTAGGCATTGGCACTAGGGGTTCGGGCTCGGCCTTCATGGACTTGGCCCCAGCTACCAGAAACTTGGTCTTGAACGCCTGGATATGGGCACCAACATTGGAGTTTTTGTGCCCAAATGAAAAGTTTTGAGTTCAAATATTGATACCTAGTTATAGTTTGGAAAATGTTTTTCGATTTTTCAAAGATGAAATCATTTTCCCGAATTTAAGTTTCGGCAAAAAAACCTTTTCCGTTGACTCATTTTCCTCAGCGAATCAAACGAAAATGTTTTCCTAGAAAATATGTGTATTTGAGGGAAAACTTCATGAAAAGGGAAAATACTTTATAGGAAATTTTTTTTTAGAAAAATGTTTAGTTTTCTTTTGTTTGGTGATATGTGATCGAAGAAGTTTTTTGATATTTGGATGTCATTTAAAAAATGATTTCAATCTCATGACTTTATTTTGGGCAAAAAAAATCGATTTTTAAATTTTATTTTATTTTATTTTTTTCTTTTTCCTTCTTCAAGCCTCGCCGGCCTGTGACTGTGGCCAGCTGCTAGCCCTCGTCGAGGCCCAGCGATTGGCGGAGGAGGAAGAGGAAAAAGAAAAAAGAAAAAGAAAAGAAAAAAGAAAACATTAAAAAATTCAAGTGCAGCAATTTCGGAAAGTGTTTTTACCTTAAGAATTTTTATGCATGAATATTGTCCTTGACTGGAAGGTGTTTTCGGTTGACTAATCATTTTTTACGAACCAACAAGTGAAAGTTCGAAAAAGTAAGTCCGGGAAATATATTCTTTAAATGGCAAATGTACCAAAATATCTTTTTATTTTCATTCTTGAAGAGTTTAGAATTCCATTATTTTCCATTTATGGTGTGTTCGTTTCGCGGAAAATGATTGATTTGTAAAATATTTTCCGAAAAATGATCGCTAATATTATTTATAAAAATAAATGAATAGCAATTTTTTTCATTGCCCACGAAAATATTTAGGCATGAATTATTATCAATAATGAAAATATTTTTTGTTAATTAATTTTTCTAAACGATATAAGCAATCATTTTATTCAAAATCACTTATTTTCCGTAAAACGAATTTGCCGTTGATTAGTTTGACTAGTGTAACAGAGGCACCTGTTGACAAGGTCCATCTCTGGATGCTACTTAAGAGCAAACCCAAGACTATATCATTACCAAAATAATAAACCAACAAAGGGAGCCAAAAATGATGTAACACTAATAGTTTTGGCCTCTATTGAATAAAAATTCAATTTGGGGGGGCTAAAATCGTGAGAAAAAGAAAACCTCAACGCTGCACATATTTTTTGGTTTTTTTGCCATTCCGTCCTTGCCATTGCAGAAGCGCCCCCCTACATTTCTTCATCCCCTCTCACCGCTCAAGCTCCAAAATTCATTCGCCATCATCAGTCAAATTCCCCTGCGCATGAAGAACCAAGAATGAGACCATAGATCCCAAGAAGAAGAAGAAGAAGAAGAAGAAGGAGAAGCAGGAGGAGGAGCAGAAGGTTCTCTGCCAAACCCACTTCGTTCTTCTTCCTCTTCATCGCCGGAGACATGGCAACTCGGGAGAGAACCCAGCACCGTCCCCTCCGTCTCGAGAGGTGAATTTCTTTTTACGGGGCGTTCTTGAATGTTGGGACCGTTCTTGCTTAGCGTGCTTCACTGGAGCCCAAAGGGTTTCAAGATCCTCGGTCGGTTTTGCGAGGATTACTGTCTGTGGTATCTGTGCGCGCGCGTTCGCGATGCGATGTGACGTGTTTGTTGGGTCGACGTTTGATGAATGGTTGCATTTCGTGCTGCGAACCTGCTTTCGACTTGCTTGGAATCTTTTGTCACGGACCAAAAGGGTGTGGAGGAATGACCAACGAAGCGGGAGTTCGATACCCGCTAGGAGTGGTTGCTTTTTCAGTCGTAGCTATTGCGCCGTGGAGTTCTCAGGGGACGGGCCTAAGGGGACCCACCAACTACTAGGGATTGGCCCAAGCAACTACTACTACCGCAATTCCAACTACCGAAGCGGGTGCATCCATGTGGCCCCGTGGATAAAATTTCCCAGATTGGTTCGAACCCGAGACGTCTTGCGAAATCTTGTCATGGAGACATCCGGCCATTGGGCTACCGTACCTGTGGTCGCTTTGCTTAGAATTGATTCGATTGGATTTGGTTTCGACTCTTATTCAGAGAAGAAGAACAAGTTAGCATTCTGTCTGTTCTATTGTCCTTACAGATCTTTTGGTTTTAGGGTAGAAATTAGAATATGTGACGATGCAACAACGACTACTGATATTCCTGATGCTGCTTTCTTTTGGGCCTGGAGGCTGAACTAAATCAGGAGATGGTCAGTGATAGATTAGAATGTCTAAAATGAGTTTTTGGCTGTATAAGGATAATGCTAGGTGTACAGATGTGGTTTACAAAAATTGGTATACCATGGCAAACTCCTATTGAGTGTTGACTATGATCCATTTATTTAAAGGGCCACTTGCACTTGCAGTTGGCCGTTTCACTTTGTATTCGAATTTTGTAGACTAGTTTAAGTAAATCTAGAATGACTATTTCTATGTTGACAATGCTGTCATTTTTTAAAGTAATGTTGCTTATTCGAGTCCTAGATTCTCCGATATTTAGCTATAGTTACAATGAGCTGATTTATTGAGGTTTCTATGTGATCTCGCTTATTTTATTTTCTTATTTCAGGCAAAGCTTTAAAGACTGAGGAATGCTTGGTGCTGTATGTGAGAGGGATTTCAATGGGGGTGGGGGAAGAAGAGTTTGAACAGGAGCCATATGTGGGGTTGGAGTTTGATACCTCAGATGATGCTCGTATATTCTATAGCAATTATGCATCACAAGTGGGTTTTAGAATACGGTCTGGTCAATTGTATCGATCGCGAGTGGATGGATCGGTTTGTAATAGGAGATTTGTGTGCTGGAAAGAAGGGTTTCAGATTAATTCAAGGACAGGGTGCCCTGCATTCATTAGGGTGAAAAGATCTGATTCTGGCAAGTGGGTCCTTGACCAATTTGCGAAAGATCATAATCATGATATTGACGCTTGTGAGGAGAATCATCCTGTCAATTCCCGGTGCAAAAGTTCAGCAACAACTGCTAAAGTAGTTGATTTGTGCTGTAAGCCACGGATAAAGCAGCTTGATGTTGTTGATAATGGATGCTCATCTTCTTCAAGTATTGTTAGTGCCAAACGCATTAAACCGGGGGCAAATGAAGGACAAGTGAAAATTGAGCTCTATGTGGGTCTAAAGTTTGATTCAGCTAACGAAGCATACCAGTATTATGATGCATATGCTGGGAATGTGGGATTTAGAGTTCGTATCGGTCAGTTGTTTCGATCAAAGAACGATGGTTCGATTACTTCTCGGAGATTTGTCTGCTCGAAGGAAGGATTTCAGCATCCTTCTAGGGTTGGGTGTGGTGCATTTATGAGGATTAAGAGGCATGGTAATGGAAGGTGGATTGTTGATCGTTATCAACTAGAGCATAACCATGAGCTTGAGATGCAAATGAAAGCCAACAGAGGTTCAGCTTCTAGGAAATTTTTAGATGAGATTAATGAAACATCGGAAAAACTAGACATTGCTAAAAAGCACAATGGGAGCCTCATAAAGAAACATCGTGCGAACAACATAGGAAGTGATTGGTATACCGTGCTTCATAATTATTTTCAGAACCGACAAGCTGAGGACGTCGGATTCTTTTATGCTGTTGAAGTACAGATGGGTTGCTGTAGGAGTCTTTTCTGGGCTGATGGCAGATCTAGGTTCTCCTGCAGTCAGTTTGGTGATGCCATCATTTTTGATACCTCCTATAAGCAAAACAATTATGTGGTGCCATTTGCTACTTTTGTTGGTGTTAATCACCACAAGCAGCCGGTTCTTCTTGGATGTGCTCTACTTGCTGATGAATCGAAGGAGTCCTTCATATGGTTGTTTGAGACATGGCTCAGGGCAATGTCAGGGTGCCATCCCAAGTCGATAATAGCTGATCATGATGATTCCATTCTGCAAGCGATTGCACAGGTTTTTCCTTCAAGCCATCATCGATTCTCAATGTGGCAAATTAAGACAAAAGAACGGGAGCATTTGAGTCCACTGAGTAGTGATTGTAAATATGAATATGAGAAGTGTGTTTATCAAAGTCATACAGTTGGCGAATTTGATGCTGCATGGGATGCTCTTCTCAGCAAATATGGCCTGAGGGAAAATGCTTGGCTGAAGGAAATGTATGAAAAGCATGAAAACTGGGTTCCACTGTACTTACGTGGAACATTTTTTGCTGGAATTCCCATTGATGGAAGTCTAGATGCCTTTTTTGATCCATATTTAAATTCTCAAACATCACTTGAGGAATTTGTTGTGAGATATGAGCAAGGTTTGGAGCAACGTCGTGGCAATGAAAGGAAAGAAGATTATAATTCATTCAACTTGCAGGCATTTTTGCAGACAAATGAACCGATGGAAGAGCAATGTAGGAGGCTTTATACCCTTTCCGTTTTCAAAGTTTTCCAGAGGGAACTTTTACAAAGCTACAGTTATCTGGGTGCCAAGATTCATCAACAAGGGGCCATCAGCAGATATTTGATCCGTAAGTGCGGCAATGAGAATGAGAAACATATCGTTACCTTTTGTTCATCCAATCTCGATGTGAGTTGTGGCTGTCAAATGTTTGAATCAGAGGGCGTACTGTGTAGACATGCTTTGAGATTGTTCCAGATTCTAGATATTAGGGAGCTTCCATCTCGCTACATCTTACATAGGTGGACGAGAAGTGCTGAGTATGGTACTGTACGTGATTTTGAATCAGAAGGTAGCTCCCACGAAAGTAAGGCTAAGATGGTCTGGAGTCTTCGTGAAATTGCTGCCAAATATATAGAGTTTGGTGCCACATCTTTTGAGAAATACAAACTTGCTTATGAAATTATGCATGAGGGTGGGAGGAAACTTTGCTGGCAGAGGTAAGTTTAGGATAATTTTGTAGTTTGGAGTGCGTCTGTTTCTTTTCCAGCAGGCCTGACTTTTGTAACTAAAGGGCATCAACTTGTTTTATACGGTATAAAAGCTTTCTCAGTCAGAAGTGAAATTATGTGGATATGAAATTATGCATTCTACTAGTTCTTTTTGTTGGTTTCTTCTGTTTATCTCACCTCAGAGGCTAGGGGTAAGGGAGGGGATAAATTGCGGAGAGTGAATGAAGAACCATGCTTAAAATTTTCTTGCAATAAAGTTATACCTTCAGTTTCAAAAGGAAAATTTCAACAAACGTCTAGCAGGGGGAAGCCACCACAAGCCCGCTGACTGTGTGTCTTTGAGAAGCTGACCTGATATTTGAAGAATCTGTAGACCTGTGCTCTGGTGTAACTTCCTCCAAGTTATCCAATCTCTCTCTCTCTCTAGTGTAACTTTGGCAAAAGGAATGGGAGACATGGATAACTCTTAGTTTTGGTGCAGAAGTTAGCAAGAGACACCTGCTGGTCTGGCCTTCTAATGAGCTAATCATAGTGAAGTTAATGATATACATGAGTTGTGGTGATTTGCATTTCAATTTTTCCTCACCCTGAATAATCTGACATGAACATAAAAAGAAAAGTGAAGTTCATCTAATAGAAACGTTTGATTCAATAATCAATCACACTCCAGCACCTCAGTTGTAGTTGCAGAAAGTTACTCGGTTGATGTGATTTTCTATTTGGTAATGACTTTTCCAGCTATATTTGGAAATGCCATTTGACATTCCATGATGTGGCTGCTTTCTTGTATCATTTTTTGTGTTTCATCTTATTTCTTGGCCATACATTTTCTTTCCCTATGTCGCTTTAATAGGACATATCATAGCCGACAAACTTCTGTTATTCAACGATGTGTAAATGTTCCACTATATTGGAGTGTGCTGAATGACTCTTGTAGTGCAGATTTGAGTACGAAGAGCAATACTGATGAAGACAATGCAAAATGAAATATCTCACAGAAGTATAGTAGAAACTCTCCATTGTATGTGTGATATTGGCTCATGAAGCAGCATAATTTGCTCTTTAAGATGCACGAGTAGCTCTTTAATGGATATCTGTCCATTAGCACTTCAATATATGAGGAAACTAGGGCAATCGCTACTGTGCTGGCAGATAGATTTGTCCTTATGGCAACAGAAATGAGCTTCTTCTTGTTATAGCTAGTTAGGCTACTCTCACCAGGAGAAACTATCAGAGAATATTTGGCCAAGGGACCAAGTGGCGTATATAGCTAGCTTAGAGTTGAATTGCTTGTGGGCAGATAAGTAGGTCAGGGCTGCCATTGATATGTAGCTTAGACTACTGAGGCTGAAGCTGATGTACAACACCCATAATGAGACAAGATTCAGAAATGCATGAGTTGAGATTTGCCTGGTCAAGTGCTTCATAGAGTCCATGCTCATATCATATATGACATCCTAGAAAAATTTTAGGAACACCTTGGTATGGTATGATATGTTAACATTGTCTCCTGATGCCTTGACTTGAAACCTTGAGCTTGAATATTAGTTGAGATCTGAATATGCCTAGTGCTTTGTAAAAATCATAGATCAAAAATAAATCATGATTTCCCCTAGTTAAATTCAATTTACATTTTCTTTTTTAGTTGTATAATCTTAACTAGGCTTGATACACTATAATTGAAACTTGCTGACATCATACAAAACGAACAGATTTCTCATTATTTTTGTGAATTTTTCTTTCAGGCCAATGTCAGAGTATGTTTTGATTGTTGGGTCACTGTCTATGCGTCTCTTTAAGAGCATCGTAGTAAAGCAGGTGACCCATGCCATCCTGAGAAGAAAACTATGTACTTGAACCTCCCTGCTTGAGAGACTGTGTAGGTTATGTTTATTGATCCAAAATCCCGAATGATGACAGAAACAAGAAAAAGAGAACAGAACAACTGTTGCTAGAGTTTTATGTGGTAAAGTTACAAACTGAGAAAAAGTTTCGAGCAGAAAGAATAAGAACTTGAAAGGGCATTGAAGCATGTTTTGGTGAAGCTTTTTTTCCTGGAGTTGGCTCTGCAGCTTGCATCGGCCATCTCTGAGAAAGGTATTGCCTGCTTGTCCAAATTTGTTCTGGGTTAGGATAGTTTTAGACTTTGGAGTGATCTGTCTGTGCTTCATTTTCTCTTTATTTTTCTTCACCTTTTTAAAATGTGAGTAGCAACATAAAATGCTTCTAAGTTCAGTTCTAATTTTAGTTTATACTTCTAAAGGAATTTGTAGGAGTTAGCCGCTGTGCCCTTCTTAGAGTAAATGAATAGGCAAGACATGATCTTAGGGTTGTCAAGATGATTACGATAACTACTTGTCGGAAGGCAATGGCCCAAGTCCTGCTGAATGCTGCTCTTTGGGGTCATCTCTAGTCACCTCTTACCATGGAAATTGTTTGGTTGTGCTCAATGGGGAGACTATCATGAGCCTGTTGGATTAGTCGGGTGCACTGGAATGCCAAACACCAAATTACAGAACACTTAACAGAGAATCGGCAAGAAACATATGTCGCAATTTTTTTAACTGTAAAATCCTATGAAGCATGTCATTCATCTCAAGCATCATTACTAATATTGGTCAATGGCATTACTAGTTCATCTTGGTTTGGCTGCTGTATTCCTTGGTTGTGCTGTCAAAGTGAGATTTTCTGCTTTGTATGATTTGGTCTAAATTTTGACGATACAAGAATGATTGAGATGGTCGAGTCTGATGAGAAAATACGGTGCATAGTGAATGAACATGGTACAGCATTGACAAATTGTAGAGTTAAGAAATTAGTGCTTTGGGGGGTTGGCCGTAGGGATGAGACCTGGTCTCAAACCGTGGGAGAAGCATAAGAGAAAAAGGTGAGGTTTCAATTTGAAAATGACAATATCGCAGAGTGAATGAGCTTTTGAAAGAGTTGGTCAGGCTTGTGGCATTATACAATGAGAGCTTTATTGAAGAAGATTGCAGGCTCAACTTTAGTCCCTGGAGAAGGATTTAGACGCTCTCATGCATCATGTATGATTGTACATTCCTTTCCGAATACATACTGTGATGCCAATCGAGACTAATGCATTATTTTCATCTTCTACTGCATAACTGATTGATAAAATAACTTGTGTCTAAAGAAAAACATGTAGTCTCTGCATTATTTCATCTTCTACTGCATAACTGATTGATAAAATAACTTGTGTCTAAAGAAAAACATGTACTCTCTCTCTCTCTCTCTCTCTCTCTCTCTCTCTCTCTCTCTCTCTCTCTCTCTCCATCATTTGCAATTTTGCTCTTATTATGTGATATGATACTAGATTTTTGTGACCAGTCACAGTTCATTACATTGAGAAATTTTTAGTTAAAACTCATGCCCAATTTGTTTTCTGGATGGATGATCGAAGTAAGTTTTGCAAGAAACATTGCCTGAAAAGTTAGGAAAATAAGCAAGAAGTTTCTTTTTCCACGGGCTCATAACTTCGACACAAGATATGATACCTACAGATGTAAATGGACTTGCTGCTAAATCTACGACCTGAAAAAAACTGATTCTCTGTTTGTTTCCACATCCTACACACGAAAGCTTTCTTTTAGTCGATTCCAGTGTGATGATACAAAAATTGTAAAGATCAATAGATGAGCTTCAGCGACCGAAGAAAGTATGATCTCGGTAAGAAGTTTTGGGTACTCCAAGACTAAATCATGACCATCAATCTCATTCTTCATGTTGGTCCTTTCCCCTATCTAATAGTGTAATTGTCACCCTCTAATTTCCGCACAAGAAAAAGGGAGTGACATGGCTGTCTTTCAAGAGGAGGACGAAGCCTCAAACCAATGTTGCCACATACCAAAAACATACATATCTGGGCCGAAAGCTAATACCAAAAGAATATAGGCCAATAAGCCGCATGTTGAAGCCGCTCCTCCAATGCATCATAGGCTACGGAACTGGAAAGGTTAAAGAAAAGGGGTGAGCGAATCTCAGAGTGATAATTATCTCTCTATGTGATCGGGCACTAATTATGCACATTTTACAAGCATCACCTTCGCTAAAAACATTTAACCAAACTTATACAACAAAAGCAAAATACTTGTAATAGATAGGCGATGAATTGTGTGACATTCCGAATTTTGGCCCAATTTTGGGATTTATAAAATGTATAATTCATCAGTGTGCCTATAGTAAATTCTCGTCCGAGAACTGATCACTCTCGGTTATTGTTTTTAAAATTGAGATTTCGCTAGAATCGCACTCGATCGAATTTGGCCGTTATTTAGAGCCCGAATTTTGGTGTCGAATTTCTCTGTGTTTCATAACGAATTTAATTGGACGGTGTCGATATTATTGTGACCAGCGTCAATATTGCCCGGGATAAGTGAAAAGTGAAATTTGGACCGGGTGCGGATTTCTACTAGTAGACCTCCCTCATAGTGTGTTTTAGTTATTATCTTTTGGCCTTTTTCCTAATTTATAATTAGGGTTTTTCGTGGGCCGTTGGATCGTTTTCGGATTTGAACGATGGTCGTCGGATCGCACTCAAGTGCGTTTGACTTTCTCTCTCTTCTCTTCTCTCTCTCCTCCCCCACGTCGCCGCTGCCCCACGCCGCTGACTTCCTCCTCTTTCCCCGCTGCCCTCCTCCACGTTGTTGACTCCTCATCTCACGTTGCTCCACCCATGCTTCGCTTTTTGTTTACGCTTCTACGCCTTTGCTCTTGCTGCTGCTGACTTCTTCCACCAACTCCACCAGCCATCATCACTCTCCCATACTTCAGGTGACTCCCCACGTTGCTGACCTCCCCATGTTGCCATGATGGACTTCCCTGTTGCTTCTGTGCCGTGTTGCTTCTGCTCCGCCCATGCCATTTCTGGCTTGCTTTTGCTTCTTACCGCTGCATCCACTGACTCCTCAAGCTGCCCATGCTGCCCACGTTGTTTCTGTCACTACTATGCTGCTGCTAACTTCCCCCTACATTGTTTCTTTGCTGACCACCCCCACGCCTGCTGCTTCTACTTCATTTTCTGCTGCTGCTTCGTTGCTACTTGCTTCTTCATTCTGCTTCCTCTGGTTTCTGCTGCTTCTCGCCCTCCATTCCAACCCGACCAGCACCACCGTTCAGCCCCCATCTCCACCCGACTCTGCCGTGAGCTGCCGCTGTCCGGCGAGGCTGCTGCTTGCTGCTCCGGCGTCGGCTTGCTTGCTTTGCCGTGGTAGGCTGCTCCTTTCGCTCGGTTTTCTTGCTTAGGCTAAGTGTAAGTGGCTTCCTAACCCTTGACTAGGCTAAGGGGTGACTAATGGACATGTTAGGGATGGTTTAAGGGCTGTGGATAGTTGGTTTAGTGGCTGGTTGTGCTTGGTTTGCTTGGAGGTGCTTGTTGGTTAATTCCCGGTAAGGTTGCTGCTGCGTCGCTGGATTTTGCTATTTTTACTGTGACTTTTGTGGGCCGAATTTGAGGATGTGTTCTTCATGAAAGTTGTTCATAACATCTTGAAGTATGACATATATTAAATCTGGAATTTTTGGAGATCATTTAGGGTCATTCGTAAGTCCATTTTTGGACCGTATTCAGTCAGCCGGATTTACTGTTCACCCGACCTTCTGGTCTTTCCGATTTTATATAAATTTTTCCAGACCTCTTTTCAAGAAACTTCCTTCACAAAAATTGTTAAGAACATTCTTTTCTATGACATATAAAAATTTCAAGGCTTTCCAAAGGGATTTGGATACTGGATGAGATGCATTTTGATGGTCAGGCGGCCTGACCGGACGGGTTGCATTTCGTCTGACTTCAAGTGACAAAAAGAGGTGTTTACGGTTGGAACTGGATTTCGAGTTCTGCATGGAAAATGTTTATCAAGATGTTTTGTACAACATATCCAAATTTCAGAATTTTTGGAGTGGAATTATTATTTATTTCAAAGAGATTTCGGTTGTTGCGCAAACTGCCCAGAATAGCCCGAATGTGTGCAATTCCGGTTTTCTCTCTCTCGGGGACTATTCGATGTTATCGTGGCATTTGGCGGATTTAGTTGACATTGGGCTAATTTACAAAGATAAGAATTGGTAATGATTGTTGAGGTGTGTGCATGGTCACGACACGTTCCGTCTAGGCGGGAGTTCTAGACGATGCCCGGCGGGAGTTCGGATGCCGTCTAGGCGGGGGTTCTAGACGTTGCCGATCGCGGTGGAGGCCGGATCGATGCTCCTTTGTGGAATGCCGTCTGGGCGGGGGTTCTAGACGTTGCCGTCGCCGAAGTAGCGGGACGATGCCTGGTTACGCCAGAAGACCGGCGGGGGTTCGGTGGCCCGAGGGGCCGTTAATAATCTGGACATTTATAATCGTGTGTTATGCATTGGGGAATGCAATGTGCTTGTGCTGCTGTTGAGCATGTCTGGATTAATAACCGTTTTATGCACGTTTACGTCATGTGGTTGTATTATGTGCTCGAGGAGCGAATTGCCATGTTATGGCGGTATTCTAACGTGCAGGGCTCGCGTATGTGCCGAGGCGAGGTAAGGGCGCCTGTGATTGTTATGACATGTTGGATGTCGGTACTGCATGTTTAGAATTGTTCGGAGGTACGCTTTGGCCTAAGCGAGGCTTAGGTAGTTGCTTATTGAGAAGTGTTCTCATGGTTGTATAATCAAACCATTTTAGACCCGCGACCGTGATTGATCCGGAGACGCTGCCAGGATACTACGGGGATTGATGATAGGTCGAGTTACCCCGTCTTTTGAGTGCACCTTTTTGTAGAGGAGTTAAGCTTACCAACCACCCGATCCATGTTATTGTGCGTGGTTCGTAGATAGTGGCCTCGTAGAAGGCTTGCAAATGTATGTGTTGTAATCGATGTTATGTTTATAAAAGTGTCTTGTTGATGTGTATTCTTTGTCTTTTTACTATCCCGTTGTTTATATGTTGTACGGAGAGTTCGAGGTTGCTTCCGCATGCGTTACTCGATAGTGTTTCGATTGGGTCGGCGACAAGTCCTGGGATGTCGCGTACATTACGACCACGAAGGGATGATCGCGCGCTCGTAGGGTTTGGGGCGTGACAAATTGTCAGACGGACAATAGCTTTTTCTATCTTCGTTTATATATGGATCAGTCATCAAATTCGTTTGGACATATTAATACGTGGTTATGTTGTTACATGAGTCCATCATACGTAACTCGTCATTATGTCCAATTATCTATCTAGATAGAAAAAATAAATTTACAAGAGTGTCAATCACATGTCGTAACCTTCGTGACGTTATGTTGTAACTAAAAACCGTTTAGTCATAACAAGCTCATTTTTTTTATCGGCAGATACATGTGTTGGTCAATTTATGCATACTTCATTAAAAAAGATAAGAG